TACAACTTTAAAAAACAGCATGTTGCCACAGATTTTCATTAGTACATGTCCATCTCCACCAAGAAGAGAAGTAAAACTCAACAGAAGAAGTGAAACTGAGGAAGAAGTGGTTGCTGTAGTTTCTCCTGCCTTTGTATTCACAATGTCTTGAAGCAAACTTCCTGTTAAAGCCAGGTTTTGGCATTCTTCAGACTTGACTATTTCCCTAAGTATACATTTTCTTTCTTAAAATGTGTTGGGTTATGACCTATTTTATCATTCTAAACCTTAATATGAGATAATGATATATACTTGCTTTTGTACATCATTCTTAAACTTAGGTTTGCTTGCATGGCTATTCAAAATAAAAGAAATGGATTTTTAGAGAGATGAGACTGATCTGGTATACAACTAGGTTTCATCATCACACAGGTGTTAATACAAGCACAAAGAGGACAGTGGGAACATTTACCCTTGACTGGAAAAAGAGATGAGACCAAACCAGACCAGCTGTTTTCAGTTTCTGTGCAAATTTAGATTTTACTAAGTCAGCTCTGTAACTGCACCCGAAAAATGTCTTTGAGTTTAGGAAAGTCAAATACATCTAGCATAGTAACATGAATCGTGGAAAGTAGATAATTTTTAAATGTTTAAAGTTTGATGTGTACCCATGGCATCTGTTACACATGATGTAGATACAACTACACCCCAGCACATGCTCTACACATAATTCACCAAAGATCTGATCACAGTTCTGACTGGTGAACTGCCTTTCAAATTAAACATAAAAAGAAAGAATCCTGTGCTACTTTTAGCAAAAGCTTTGTGCAATAGTCTACAGTGAAATAAATTCAAGCACCAACTTATTTACTTACTCCCAGTCAGGAGTTCAGTCAGGGCCAGTGCTCTTCTCCTAGGGTGCCTTGCAATGTTTGCAAACACCGTATTTTCCATGCCAAATGCAACAGATGACTGGACATCTGTAGATGACAGGGCATCACAGCTTGTTCAAACCAAGCTCTCACTGATACAAGGATCTCAGTTTTACACAGCCTGTCAGAGAGATACACAAATCACAGGATGTTATCTGTTACTTAATGGAAGTGACATGTCTATCTCCGCAATCCAGCTAAACAACATTGATTCATTATTGTACGCTTGCTTTAACATCATTTATTTTCCTATTGAGAGCACAACCTCATTCAGTGGCTGTAGACTAAAACAGCTGAGCTGCATATTATCCCAGTGCTGGATTCTCCTTTAGTTTTGTAACTTATTTCTAACTGATGCTATAGCAATATGGTGTGGACTCTATATTCCTACTAGTTTGACAAGTCAAATGATAAAACCACATGGGTGCTTATTGTGGCAGAAACTGTCTTGCTGTTTTGAAAACTACTCTAGAATCAATAAAAAAACTCAAAGCCCACATGATCACTACTGCATCACAAATAAAATTGTATCATCTTTTGAATTTTTAATTTTAAAGATTTCTATCAGTGCTAGGCATCTATAATAAAGATAGTGAATTTGCTTTTTCATCTCTTAAATTTCTGGCAGCTCAAGAGGAACTGTAATGTGACCCCAACTGCCAAGTAAGAGTTAATTTTCTTTACTGCGTAAATCCAGTCTTTCTATCCTACCAGTATGAAGTTGAATTGCTCATGTAAAACTTCAGTGCATCCTTCCAGGCACAGAATTTTCCAATTTTCGCAAGCTTAAAGTTGCATGGGCTCTACCACTTATGAGAGCTCGTGCCTAAGAACAAGTTAAAACTAGTAAGGAAAGAGACTCCATAAACCTAATCGTGTGTGAAGTGTACTTTACTGTTTTAAACATGGATGTGAAACTACAGCCTTAAACCACCAAAGATACTATGGAAAGTCCCAACTTCCCTCTGCTGGAAGAAATGAATAGTTGGGGCTTGAGGAGTGCAAAAGTGCAAGAGTTGTCCTTTCCTTTCCTTTCCTTTCCTTTCCTTTCCTTTCCTTTCCTTTCCTTTCCTTTCCTTTCCTTTCCTTTCCTTTCCTTTCCTTTCCTTTCCTTCCTTTCCTTTCCTTTCCTTTCCTTTCCTTTCCTTTCCTTTCTTTCCTTTCCTTTCCTTTCCTTTCCTTTCCTTTCCTTTCCTTTCCTTTCCTTTCCTTTCCTTTCCTTTCCTTTCCTTTCCTTTCCTTTCCTTTCCTTTCCTTTCCTTCCTTTCCTTCCCTTTCCTTTCTTTCCTTTCCTTCTTCCCTTCCTCCCTTCCCTTCCCTTCCTGCCCTTCCTTCCTTCCCTTCCCTTCCTTCCCTTCCCTTCCTTCCCTTCCCTTCCCTTCCCTTCCCTTCCCTTCCTTCCCTTCCCTTCCCTTCCCTCCTTCCCTTCCCTTCCTTCCCTTCCCTTCCCTTCCTTCCCTTCCCTTCCTCCTTCCCTTCCCTTCCCTTCCCTTCCCTTCCCTTCCTTCCTTCTCTTCCTTCCCTTTTCTCTTCCCTTCCCTTTTCTCTTCCCTTCCCTTTTCTCTTCTTTACTTCTCTTGTCTTGTCTTAAATCTAGATTTATATAGTTTATATGTGCATAGTGTGTAATCTTGCCACTGATTTCTGCACAACCACCAGGTGTTCCTGCTTTTTTCAATCCCAGCCAATCATCCTGATTTGCTCTACTTTGTGTATCAATTTTGCAGCAATGTGATCTGTCTGGAAAACACTGTTTTTATTACTGTGCAATTAGCTTTCTTCTAGACCAAGTTTTTTACAGCAGTGCAAACCTGCACTAGCCTGAATGCATGCATGGTTTCAGCATAGCAGGATAGCTAGGTAATATCTTGTGTTCCTTCCATCCCCGTGTTTCAATGGTCCTTCTCAACCAGGCTGAGCAACTGAATTCCATTGCTTTTTTCATCCCTTCCCTTTTTTGCCTATGTGCTCCCTTATTTTAAAACAAGGCATCAGTCAAAATGATGATTCAGGATGCCCTACTAAAAACATAAAATTGAAATGTGTTTTTGCTTGAGCTCAGAACCTGAGCTCATTTTCGTTTTCTGCATTCCACAGTCTAATTAATGTATCTGCAGACTTGCAGCATTAGGCTTCATAACCAGATGTCTGGGGAAAAAAATCCTGCTTACAATGCAGCCTGTCACTTCTCTGATGTGTCCACACAATGCACCTGCAGACTTATTATTAGTCTCTTCAGATTGTATGCAATGGGATTCTCTCCTCTGTCTGAAGAAAATACTAAAAACTGAAGGAAAAAAAAAAAAAAAAAAGGTCAATATTACTAAAACAGACAGAAATTTCACACTGCCAGTAATAGCATTCAGGCAATTACAGAGACTCAGCTATTATTTCAAAAGAAAAGATTTGTGCTTCATTCTAGTACTTCTTTGCATATAATATGGTGATTTGCTTTCACACCTAGAATTCTTAAAGCAGTTCCTAATGGGAAATTGATGTGGTAATATCAAGTGCCTAATGCAAGGCTCCATGACATCTCAGTGACAAAATAAAGATAAACCCTGCTCCCCATCCCTGAAGCCCGCTTTTCCTACATCATTACTTACCTAATACCAATGCATCTTTCATACCATAGAGTCTATGGCCTACAAGAGGTTTTATATTCACTGTTGAAATGTATTGTAAGTATTTTTAAGCTGCATGGGTTTCTAGCACTTAAATGGGCTGCCCTAGGAAATGGCAGTCTCCATCCCTGGAGGCATTTAAAAGACACATGTACATGGCACTAAGGGATGTTATAGCGATGGGACTTGGTGGACTTCATGATCTCAAGACAGGGAACAGTGGAAAGCAGGTTGATTTTGCAGGTCTTAGCTAACACAGGGAGCATGTTGTGCATCAACCACAAGGACAGGGCTGAGGGCTCAGGCAGGGAGTACGAGGATGGGACAACCCTAAAAGGTAAGGGAAGGAAAGACTTCACAGATAATAGAACCAGAAAGAACTGGCTGGGCTGCTGAAGTCTGTAAAAGAAACGAAGGGTCAGAAGTTTAGCAGCAAGGAAGACTTCTGGCCTTCAGTAAAAGACCACCAGAGTATGCCGGGTAGCCACCCAGGAACTCTAGCGCTCATGAGAATAGGGGTGGGAACCTGTGTCAATGCTTCTTCAGATACCTCATGAATATGCAACAGACTTACAGGGAAGTGTGATGAATGTGAATATATGTCATTATTATAAACACCCTGGCAGTAACTTTTGCGTGTGTGTGTGTTAGGCAGAGTGATCTGCCCCACACTCAGTGCTGTTATAAAGAATGGCCACTTAGTAACATTGGCCATCAAGTTTTCTCTCTATCAGTCTTGAAGGTCCTTTTATACCTAAATGATTCTGTGATTGTATGGTTTACGTTTAGGCAACAAGCAAGTGGTGAAATTCCATCGATGTTGATACCTGTTTTTTGACTACAGCAAGTATCAGCAATGTCCTAAAAGATTTTAATTCTGCTGTTTCTCTGTGCTCTTGTTTAATCATAGAGCTTTTGTGTGGTGGTTTAGTTTGGAAACAAGGTAAAGATACTTGCTGTGGATCTGTAAAACTAAATGAAGCCTGAAACAGCGCACTTTCACTGCTTTGCATACAGATTGTTTGGTCTCTAACCTGTCATAAACTTCCTATCTTAAAAGCCCCTTCGTGAAACACTGCGGCTAGCACAAACCTGCTTCCCCAGCCACATACACCCGAGGCTTCCTTCACAAACAACACCTTCTCCCCTTGCTTTTCTACACCAGACGTGGGTTTGTTTGTTTATTTGATTGTTTATTTTGCAGCAGGTGACAGCCCCAACCCACCACCGCCCTCCCCGCGCCTGCGGGGCGGGCACTGCGCAGCTCCTCCCACCGCCATCTTGTCCCCGCGGCGCCGCCATTTCGCCGCGCCGCCCAGGGGCGGCTCCAAAGGGGAGGAGGAGGGAGGGTGCCGGCGGCGCGCATGCGCATCGCGGCGGAGGCCGGTCGGTGGGTGCGCAGGTGAGGTGAGGTGAGGCAGGCAGGGCGGGTGGGAGGCGGGCGGCGGGGGCGGGTGCGCGTCACGGCCCCGGAGCGGTTTTGGGAGCGCTGAGGAGCTGGGTCTTGGGGGTGTGGGTCCTGCCCGAAGGCAGAATCGGCGCCTGGGTGGTGCTCAGGCTGCCCTCGGGCGGGGGCTAACCTCGTTCTGTCGGGCCTGAGGGTGCGGTGCCCGCCGTGAGGCGCGCATGGAGGGGCGCGGTGTGGGGGTGTCACGGCTGGCACCGTGAGGCGGCTGGTGCTGGCCCTCGGAGCAGCGCCTGGGTTGTGGCAGCCGCCTGTCCTGGGCCGAGCGTGCTCACCAGCCCCCTTTCTGGTGTATTTATCATCCCCCAAGCCCTTGGGGTGGGGAAGCAGCGGGGCTGTTGGCAGCTGCCAGGGCACGCGTCTCCAGGAGGTTGTGCCTGAGGAACACGAGGCGTCTTCCATCGATACCCACCACACAGTGCTCGAGGACTCGCCTGGTGTCCCAGCCACCAGCGGGACACCCGCAGGTGAAGGTCCCGGACACCCATAGGTGAAGGTCCCAGCCACCCATAGGTGAAGGCAGTGTTTACCATGCAGAGTCCCCAGGTTGGATGTTGTGCAGGCTGGTCATACTTGAGTAGTGAGTAAAGGGCACCCCGAGGTCTGACACACTTGTCATGCGTGCTCCATCGCTGCACACAGATGAATTTCCTTTGTGAACATAGTCTACCGTGAAATCTCAGGTGTAAAAAGTCGGAGCTGTCTCTTAAAGGCCTATTTGGGAATGCAACAAAAAGTGGTCATAATGAGTAGCGCTCTAATTAATGAGTAGTGCTCTAATTACTATTTTTTTTTTTCCTCCAAAACCTTTGTTTTTTAGGTCATGTAAGCGTTTCAGTGATACGCAAGAGACGAAGCAGTCATGTCAGCTCTTTGTCCGCCGCCATCTCCCGCAGTGGCCAAAACAGAGATTGCTTTGAATGGCGAGTCACCATTATTAGCTGCCACTTTTGCTTACTGGGACAACATTCTTGGCCCTCGAGTGCGGCATATCTGGGCCCCTAAGACAGACCAGGTACTTCTCAGTGATGGTGAAATAACCTTCCTTGCTAACCACACCCTGAACGGAGAAATACTTCGAAATGCGGAAAGCGGTGCAATAGATGTGAAGTTCTTTGTCTTGGCAGAAAAAAGGGTTATAATTGTTTCTTTAATCTTTGATGGAAACTGGAATGGAGACAGAAGCACATACGGACTGTCAATCATACTTCCACAAAGTGAACTTGGCTTCTACCTACCTCTTCACAGAGTGTGCGTGGATAGGTTAACACATATTATAAGGAAAGGAAGAATATGGATGCATAAGGTAGGTTTGTTGTTCGTTCCTAAAAATAGTTGTCTTGAGCAAAACCAAGAATGAAGATCTTGTGACACCTTTTGTGTTGACACAGGAACTTGGAGGCGGCTGACCTCTCTACAAGGGTAGGATTTTGAAGTTAGAAAGTTATCCGTATGTCACCAGATTTGAGGCTGGGGTTTTTAGCCACATGATTTGCCCTGGAAATATTATAGAAGGATATACAAAGCTATTTAGTTAAATTAGCTGTCCTGTAAAGTTTTTCATCTTTCTGAATTTGATTTAAGTCATTGCTTTTAAATGTGTTAATTACTGTATTTAACCAAGGTAGAATTGTAAATTTACTGCTTCACATTTTTTTTTTTTTTTTTGCTGTTGAAGTTCAAAACGGGAACTGATGGAATTAATACTGTCATCCTATATATTGTAGTCATATTTTATTTATCGAAAAAGGGTATCAGCAAACAGTTTGGCAGGTGTTAAATTGCATTAAACTGATGGGAGAACAAAGAAAATATAGCTACTTCAGTCCAAATATTGCTGCTTTTGAATCTGAAAAATGGAAAAAACAGTAAAATTTTTGAAGAGTTGCAGCTCTTTATTTTGGGTACCTTATGAGTGTTTCCTTATGCAAATGAAATTATTACATATTTTTGTTAAAAGCCAATGGCATTCTAATAATAAAAACACTCTGTTGTCTTCACGGAGTATAACTTGTCTTAGAGCAAAACATTGCATGTCAGCTGTAATGCGTGTGGTGATGCATGGTTGTTCCATCATGTTTTTGTTCCTCTTCTGAGACCTCTAGTCAACATATTTTAAACTTCCTTTTTAAGTGTTCTAATTAAGATTCCAAAAATAAGAAGTTGACATAAATTTTGCATTGTCATTTCTTTTTTGTTACACTTAACAGTGTCCATTGATGGTTGGCAGTGTCTTCTTTCATGTTTGCTCTTGATAATCTAGTGTTTATTTTTTTTGGAGTAAAGTTAGGACGTAAATTTTAATTTTCAATAGAGTAGAAAGCAATGGTACATTCCTAATTCCTAAAATAAATTGTTCACTGGATGTTAGTACTTTTGACACAAACGAATGCTACCTCACGCTCTTGATTACATTGTTTCTCTGTCATTTAGTGTTTTTGCCACTGATGTCTTATGTGAATGGTCAAATAAGAATTGTCTGTTATTGTTAAATACTGTACGTCTTCACTCTTTTTTGACATTGACCCATATCAATCTGTTGCTGCAGTAAAAATGGCCCTCAAGTGGCTTTGAGAACGACAAAGTGTTTTCTTGTAGTTCCCTCTGAAACTAGTCATGAAGTTCTTAATTTTTTTTCAGATGATCTTTAAGTAGCTAGGTCAACTAAATCAGCCACAACAACTCAAGATTCTAAAAGAGACATTTATTGTCTTTTTTTATTATTATTTTTCTTTGGAGGAAAAGCGTGCCTGCATGTTTACTGCATATCTGCAGACTTACCTAGAAGATACTAAACTGCATTAAAAGTGTAAATTAAAATTTAGGTATGAGTTGTAGAATTACAGTATTGAATAAAAACAGGCCCAAACACTATAGTTTGCTGTTTGAGGCAGTTCAGCAGCTATGGCTACAACAGCATACAAAAGGTTGAAATAGTATCTGAGAGGAACTATGCATCTGTTCTGGCATTTCTAATGGGTGTTGTGATTATCAGCTGTCACAACTTGTGTTCAGAGAGAAGAAACTGAACTCAAGGACTAGGAGAAACATGGAACAATGCTGAGACTGGCAAAGACAAGCAACTCCAATCAAGTCTGCTGTGTGAGATTAGAAACCCCAAATATTTACCTAAATTTTATGGTCTGGGTGTTTGTCTGATACTTTGTAGCAGTTATATTTCTAAAAAGAAGTGGCTTATGTCATTTGTTCAGCCTGGTCTTCATGAAGACTGACTTCTTTTGAAGCAAAAGATCTTCATTATCGAGTATGTCTTACTGAAGTCAAAGCTCAAGGTCCCCAAAGGAATAATCTGCCAAGTTCCAATGTTATTTTTCACTGATATTTCTTTAAAGTGGTCAGATGAGTTTTACAGCTGTTTTAGGGCAATTCACTGTAGCTTGCTACCTATTCATCTGCTCAAAAAACATTTTGTGGACTCTTCCCACTTGAGGTTGATCAGCTTCAAGCAATTCAGTCACAACCATTAAGAAGGCAACAACTACTTAGTGTATAGCAAAAGCTATCATTATTTCTGTCTGCATCTTTGATTTTTTTTTACACACTGTATCGATTGTTCTGTTAATTAAGGCTCAGCTTCTGATTAGTCTGTTTTGAGAACTTTGTACGGTCTTTTGTGCAGTGTTTTGCGTAGTTTGAGGTTTTGTGTCTCTGTACTTGTTTACAAAACAATGATTTGAAGACTTGTCATTGTCTCAAGATGTGGAAAAAAAAAATGGTGAATACCTACCCTCCCCAGACATAATCTTCATTCAAGAGATCTCATTTTTTCTCTGGTTGCATCAGGAACCATCAGTTCTTACCCTTTTGAAATAGAAAAATCTCTCACCTTACCCATTTGAAATAGAAATGCATAACGTGGAGTTCTGCACCATAGTCTGATCATATGGCATTTTCTTGGTCTGTAACGAAGAAAATGTTCTTTTGTCATTGCCATCACACCCTCGTTTTCCTGCCACTCCTGCCCAAGCATGTGAGAGGTTTGATGGGGTGTTGATTTAATCTCAGGGAACATTGATCTGTTTAAAATGACACCGCTTCCTACCAATATCAGCTCTGTAAAAGAAAAAAGACTTGAACATCGAAATTTGAACCTGAGAAGCATGCCTCAACAGGGAAGAAATTGTTCCATATGACTGTTGTGTGCATACATATATAAACAAGTGCCAGAGCGTTTATATTTAACTGCTTCTCTTGCTCAGGAGAGGCAAGAACATTTCCAGAAGATTGTCTTGGAAGGCACGGAGAGAATGGAGGATCAGGTAAGACCATCTGGTTGATGCGTATGGCCCACCACCACAAACCTGTTTGACTGGATCTGATGACTGTAGAAGTTGGTGCTGCTTCTTATTTTTGGGATCCAGGAAGATACTTTGGACTGGCTGGTGACCTGACATGCACAGGAGACAAACTTTCTGAAGATAGGATGATGGAAGCTGTGAACAAATTGAAGGAAAATGTATTTCATCACTTTGTGGGAGAAGTGGAAATCTATGAAGAATATTACCTTTCAGAAAAGAGAATTCATTTACTTGAACTTGAAGCTCTGTAAAGGTAGTAGCTTCCTAGATTTATGCTCTCCTCCTGTCAAAGGTGGTCATTCACTAGGCTGTTTTACAGAGACATACAGTCTGTTGTGCTGAAATGTGATGGTAGACTTAATGCATAAGATTGTGAAAAGACTTTAATTTCTGAAACTGCAAATACAAAATTGTGGCTTTGGTTTTCTTGTGAAAAGATGAAATCAGATAAATCATAAATAATTTCACATGTTAATAAATAATAGCCTGATTTCTTTTTCCTGTCATCAAAATGTCAGATTTCGGATCTATAAATGTATAATAGTAATTGTTTGTTATACGATATGATCAGATTATCTCATTCTAAATATGTCTTGTGTGGGCAGATCAAACTGATGGGGAAAATTAGCACAGGACCCTGAAAACGTATTTTAGACATGATGTTGAAAAGTGAAATGTATGTTTCCAGTTCATAATGAATGATGAGCGAAACCATAGAAGACTGTGTATCAGTTGACACCCACAACCACACTTTGAAACAATAGGAAGTTAAAGATGCTTTGCATGTAATTTGATTTTAAAGATGTTTTTGCATGTTAGAGGTTGGAGCAGATGATCTTAGAGGTCTTTTCCAACCTATATGATTCTATAATTCGATAAAACTGCAAGTTTATGTTATTAGTAATTTCTTATACTGCACTTCAAGCATTTTATTTATTGCACAGGGCCAGAGCATCATTCCAATGCTGACAGGAGAAGTCATTCCTGTAATGGAGCTCCTTTCATCTATGAAATCACACAGTGTTCCAGAAGAAATAGATGTAAGTCCCTATGTCCTTTGTGTTCTGAATAAGAGAAAGACACCACCAATCTAATTTGCTGCTCTCTGGCAGGAAAAAAAAAAAAGAAAACCAGTTGTCATAAATTCCTGTATGCTTCTGCTGTTTCACATCAAGTTCTCCTAAATGCTGTAGGGAATGGTATAACAGTTTTAGTTTGGTAAATGCTAACAGTACTAGCAGTGCTTTTTATGGTTAGCACATAGCAAAATGGACTGCCTGGGGTGACATGCTTCCTAAGAGCCATGTGGAAAGGCTATTTGATGAAAAACAAATGGGGAGGTAGATGGCTTTAATGTTGGTATCTGTTCCAATGTAGTATAGTGTTCTCATGAAAAAAGTAGGAATGATTTCACATGGACTAGGTTAAAGTATTCTGGACAAGACTTTAAGAAAAAACACTGGGAGGGATCTTATTGTCATTGCTGCTGGGGGAAATAATAATAATAATAATTGAGTGACTTTCTTATTTTCAAAATGCTTTGGGTAAGTCAGAAGGTCTTTTTAAGGTTGTTCTTTTCTGGCAGTCTTACAATGTACCTTAAATGGATCCCAAACAGTTCCCACCTATCAAAAAACAAAATCACTTAATTCTAAGGTGATCTTTTTCTAACCTTTGTTTATGTTTATCTGCATTTCAGATAAGTGAGACGGTGCTAAATGATGATGACATTGGGGATAGTTGCCATGAAGGATTTCTTCTCAAGTATGAATTTCTGTTTTGACTTATGCTGTAGTAAAATTGATTAAACTTGTGTGAGTGTACAGGTATCTGTATGTGCACGTCAACATGTGTTATAATAGCTTTTTTCGTAGGAGGGGTTAAATTGTTTGACTTCTTGACTTCTGCAGAATTTCTTAGACAAAAATCTCAGTAAGTTGTTCTTAAAAGAATGGTTCTGGGCTAGTAGCTGCAGCTGTTCGACTGTGTTGTCAGACATTTGCTTGAAAATAGAATTCCTATCAAATACAATTTTTGCTTGACACTTTTTCTCTGAAGTTCTAAGCCAAAGTCTAACGTCTTTATGAATTAACCAAAACACTGAGTCATGCCTAATGCATTAATTATGAATTAAAGTATTAATGGCATGGCATGTGGAGTGCCTATTATTAAATTATCCATTTTTATTTTTTCCCCCCATTTCTGCTGCATAAGTGGAAATAGTTACACTTCAGAGCAACTTGGTCTCTTCATATGGAAAAGCATATTTTAACTGGTGTTGTGTTTCAGAACATCTCCTATATAACAGCACTTAGTGCTAAAGAGTTTGTAGTCTATTTAAACAGCATCACATTAACTAATTCTTCACAATAATGTTGTATTCACTTTTCTGGAGAATTTAGGATTTCTTTGTGTTTTCAGACTTATAACGCAATCTTTCAGAAAAAAATGAAGTGCATATTAGGGAATGAGTTATTGTAAATAACTAAAGCTATTGATTAGTGAGCTATTCTCATATGTAAATTTTGGAGGCATGTAATAGACTGCAGGGATAACGAAGGGTATCAGTTCTCTCTTTGTGCTACTACTTCTTCATGGAAATTTTGTGCAGACAAGGAAAGAATCACAGTTTGTGTGATTGGCCGAAATGTCAGCTTGTCTGCTTTTTAGAGGGAAGCAAAGCTTGTCTGCTCATCTAGGTTCAGATTTTGAGTCTTGAATGTGGTGTTGGAGTGGATTTCTGTGTCATTGGATAAGAACTGGATTAAGCAAAATGAACTGCCATTTTAACAATACCAACTTGTAAAATAAACTCATAGTTTCTTAGTAACTTCTAAATGAAACAAAACTTCTGATTTTGTCCCAAAGGAAGAATTCAAGTGACCTTAAATCCAACTTAAAATTGGTAAGATAAATAGTAACAAGTCCAGTATAAAGCCCATCTCCTGGACTTCAGAGTCTGAGTGTAGCTGTTACAATCCTTATCAGTTAGAAGTGTTTATTAGAACTGGTCAATCACCATACGAAGCATCCTTCAGTAAGATAACATAATTGTGCTTCCATATATCGATAGGTATTGCAGAAAACTACCTAGTGGTATCTTGACTTTTTGAAACTGGGGGCCAGCTATGGGTTTGAGAAGGTGAGGCACAAGGAGAGAGTGAAGAAAGGAACCTGAGAAGAAGTTTGCTAGGGATAGGTTAAGAGTTGCCATGGTTAGTCCGGGCGTACTTACTGCACCCTCCAAACTTAAGGTAAACTAAATCATGGCTTTGCTAAACTAAATCATGGCTTTGCTGATGGCAGCTCATGAGACAAGATCACCCATCTCTCTGCTTGCCTGGCTGTATTCCAAGGGACTGGAATATGAAGCGCCCTTACCCTTGTAGTTGCCAAATTAGTAGTTTACCTGCCAGGTCTCCCAAAACTAGCTTCTGATCCACAGTTGTGTCAAAATAATGAGAACAGGTCATCTTTCAAGACAGTTTCAGATCCTTCATTATTAATATTTCTTCTGTTGCTTTAGATGATATTTTTTTAATTGATTTTGTGATACAGTGATACAGTAATGATTTCTATTTGCTCTGTAAGTGGTGTTTGGAGGTTCTGTCTGGCAATCTTTTTATTCACCAAACTGCAAATACAGATACTGCTGAACTTTTGATTTCAACAGTACCCACGTATGTGAGGGCTATGCTATAGACTTGTAGTGTAACTTCCAGCCCTTAATTCTTATTGTAAAGATGATAATGGTTTTATTTGAAAAGTCTGATTAAATTTATTAACCTGTGTTTGTTTTTATTTGCAGTGCAATTAGTTCACATCTGCAGACCTGTGGTTGTTCTGTAGTTGTAGGAAGCAGTGCAGAAAAAGTTAATAAGGTAACACAGTTCTTAATAAATGAAACTTAAATGCCAATTATAAGCAGTGTTAGTGTGTTATTTGAAAAAAAGTTTTTTATATAAACATGCTTTAGGTTGGAGAAGGAGAGGACATTGTGTGGTTATATTCTGTTGATTGTTCTAGCAGTTGATAATTCTGCCAGAAAATTGCCTTATCAGTTGTATTCTGAAAACTATAAGAAAACCAGTGAATTTAATGTAATTAGTACTGTTATACATATGTTCTAATTGAGTCTGAGCTTCTAAAGTAAGTTTTGCTAGCTAAAATGTGCTATCTGAACAGATTACAGCTGACTGTAACTGTAACCGGTTCCAGAAGAACCAGAGAAGCAAAATGCAGATATAAACACCTAAAATTGAGTACTGTAACAAACCAAAAAAAAAAACAAAAACAACTCAGTGTGTCAGCAAACTTGGTGGAGCACGTGCAGAATTTATCAGTAGGGATGATACTTCGGAGCCTTCAGGTCTAGATGATAAAAAAAAAAAAAAAAAAAAAAAAGCATTATCTGTTCTCTTAATGGAGAAAAGCAGAACGTATATACTTTTGGAATCAGTCATTTCTGAACAGGAACGTAATTACATTTTCTGGTAGACGTAATTTTTTGCCATGCTGTTTTCTTTTTGCCCATTATCAAATACTGAATTTGAACTGATACAAAATTATAACCTGCCCTGCTTTTTCTCTTTTTTTTTTTTTTTTTTTTTTTTGTGTAAATGGCGAGTTTCTTGATGCTTTTTTAAGCTGAGTATGTGAAGGAAAAATCAAATGAAATGTTCCTTATTCAGAATTCTCCAAGTACTTTTTGTACATGTTTTTTTGATTATACCAAACTGATTGCTTCAGATAAATTGAAAGTAATTCTTGGAAGAGATACGCTTGTATTTACTTCCCATTGAAATACATCTTAAAGTCTATTTCTTTATAGCATTCTGCAATGTATTGGCATTTTGTTCAGAAACGTTTGCCTTTGACTGGCATTTAATTAGGCTGTTATTCCATTCCTTCTAATAAAAGTGCTGGTTAGTTTTCAGTTAGGATATTCAGAGACAAATCATTGAAGAAAGTGTTATTTTCTTAGAGAGAAAATGTATTTCACTAGATCAATTGCCTCTCTATGTTCACAGTTGAGTCCTTTAATAAACCTCATTGATTCAGAATTCCCTGCAACTGGGAGTGAAAAGAAGGATTTTATAAAAAATGTGCAATCCTACAGCTTTTTAGGTATTAGGCACCACTGCACTTAATGAGTATACCAGTATTGCTCTGAGGGTAAGGTTCTTTGTAGTTCCATAGCACGATAAGTTTTCAATTTACACTGGGGCCTCTGTGCAATGCAGTAACAATAGTTCCCCATTCCAAGACCAGGACAAAGCTTCTACTGCAGTACATGTGGTGAAGCAGTATATTTAGGTAACTTCATTTTTTGATTGGAAATCTTTTATGCATGTTGGGCTTTTCTGTCTGATTTTCCTTTTAATAGTGTTGTAATAGGCATTGTGTTCTAGTTCACTTAGTAAGACTAAAGCCTTCCTTTGAAAAAAATAATTCTTGAAGTTGATGCTTTTTTGACATATGTGTTTATTGATAGCTTCAGCGTCAAATAAAATTAACGGTTAGCCTGTATTAATTATATAAAATATACAATTGTATAATGTATATTTTACATTATGCAGGGTTCTCTGCTGCAGTGAAACATACCTTCTTGTAAAAAGATTCAGAAAATGTAAGGCATCTTCAGTAAACCTGTGTTTTGAAATATGCTCTTCAGGACGCTTTACAGGAATCTGGAGAAAGAATACATTGTTTTGTGTGTTTTTAGCAGTAGTGATTAAGCACCTCTGATCAAATAAGTGATAAATGCTGGTGCTCAATTAAAACAACTATGAGCTACAAGGGAACCTGAGAAAAGAAAAATCTCAGTCCTCAGAGGAAGTCAGTTAACCATAGTTAATACACATAGTTTTAGTGATGTAGAATTTGCACATTACTAAGTTACGTGCAATATACTACTAAGTATTATAATTAATAAAAAGGCTTAGGTGTCTAAATGGTTATGAGTGTGTGTAACAATGTATTGATAAGTTGAGTACTTAAAAAAGCAGTCTAGAAGAATGTGAGTCTCAAGATCTATTCTGGACAAATTTATTTAAAATTGCATAGGCTCTTATCAGTAGTGTGGCCGTTGTGTTGTGGTGCTATGTTTTGAAATAATTCCTTTTTTTATAGTATACCTTAGCTTTACTTAAAGTAAAAAACAAACAAACAAACAAAAAAAAACTACTGCAGGCAAAAACATTAGTCAGTAATGTATGCTTGACTACGAGACAAGAATATATATTTGCATTTGGACATGATTGCCTGCAGCAGTTGTAGTATAGAAGCTTAAAATAATAAAGTACCTTTGTTGCTTTTAATGGAGAGTTTGAGCAAATTAATGAGGAAATAAGCATGGATGCTTATTTATAAAATTAAATGTGCCTCATAGCAGACAATAGCTGACATTTCAATATGGAACAAGAGGCTTAAAAGGCTAGGAAATTAATCACAGCAACTTACGTTTATGTAATATGAAGAGGCATCAAAAGGCAAAAGTTTTTTGTTCTACATAGTTGGCAAAAAGTGTTGCCAAAAATTTAGGCTTTCCTTTTCATTTGACAAGAAATTGGAATTGCATGGCTTACATCTTAATTATTTAAGCATGTCGCTATTCTCTGATGTTACTCAATTTTAGTTTTTTCTAGTAAGCAGGATGAAGTCAGAAATTGCAATTGAAGATCACTTAATTCCTTACATTTTCTTGTTTGTTTTGTTTTGTTTTTGAACCTGTCCTTTTTAATGCAGATTGTGAGAACATTGTGTCTGTTTCTTACACCATCAGAGCGGAAATGTTCCAGACTCTGTAGAAATGAGTCTTCTTTCAAATATGAGTCAGGGCTTTTTGTTCAAGGCTTACTCAAAGTAAGTACACTTAGTAAAATTCTATTCTGTGTTTAAGAGCATTCTTCAGCATATGTGGATGTGTGCACATATGATAATCACGTGCATAATTGCATTCATGTTTGAAGAAATATATCTTCACTTGAGTTCTTCTTGGTGCAAGAGCTGGCTTATGACTCTTTGCATGTTAAAATTCTAAGCCAGTCTTTTCTCTGACCCAGACATTTCTTGGGTTGAGTATTGATCAGAATTATTCCTATGTTTAATACAATAATAATAATATTTTGCCTTCTTGGGGCTAGAATTCAAGAAAGCATTCAGTTTCTGTGTTACATCAGTAAAAGAGAACAGTCCATCAGTCCTGTGGTTTCCAAGTTTATTTGGCAAGTTTATTTGGGCTGTAGCAACTAGTGAAGGTAATTAGGAAAGTAATACTTTTTGCTCTAATGAGCAGTCTAAACTTCACAGATAAATATCATATTGAAATGTTAATGGATTCAAGAATCAGATGATGCAGTGGAATACACAGGATACCTCAATACCTGTTTTCACCATTACATTAGCAGAATCATGCAGTATTGAGGACATTTGTCTGGTTACAGCTATGATTTCATTCAAACAAAATGTGTCTACACAAATGGGATTTGAAATGTAGGCATGATGTTTTCCTATTGTTTTGTTCCAATTTGGTTTTGTTTTTTTCTAAGTAACTAGAAGAGTTTTGTTTTGTTTTGACTAAAACAGGATGCAACAGGAAGCTTTGTGTTGCCCTTCCGTCAAGTAATGTATGCTCCATATCCCACAACACATATAGATGTAGATGTCAATACAGTGAAGCAGATGCCCCCATGTCATGAACACATCTACAACCAACGTCGGTACATGAGGTCCGAGCTGACAGCATTTTGGAGAGCTAATTCAGATGAAGAAATGTCTCAAGATCCTATTATCCACACAGATGAGAGTTTCACACCTGATTTGTATGTACTTCCCTCCCAAGCGTCTTAAAATTACTTGATTTGAGATGAAAGAATAAGGTGTAAAGCATGCTTTCTAATACAAAAAGTACTGGAGTTCTGTTTTTTTTTTTTTGTTTTTTTTTTTTTTTCTTGTAAGAAGCTTCTTGAGCTCTGGTGGTTGTATTTGTTCTGCAGAATTTAGGAGTTCTGTGAGTGTTTTTGTTGCATTAAGTATTACTGAAATCCAGTGATACTGACAGTGTCATGGTAATTTTGTTGCCTGTTATAAATAACATATTCCAGAGCCAAGTGTACTTGGCAAGTCCCAGTGGCTTTTCAGGGTTTAATGCGTTTCTCCTGAAAGTTCTGCTTAAAAGTTCTATATTACCTTTAAGTAACACGATTATAATTGACTCAAATTTTGAATGCACTTTCAATTTCTGCCAAACCGTAAAAAGCAATAGTATTATGTGCACAGCTGCTGGACATAGCTGTCTCTTCATGTCATTACCTCATGTATCTGTTTGCTTTTTATTTTTTTTTTCTTTAGAAATGTCTTTCAAGATATCCTGCATCGAGATACATTAGTAAAAGCCTTTCTGGATCAGGTAATAATTGCTTTTTCAGAAAGAACAAGAGCTAGAGAACAGTATTTTGAACTCTTAGTAACAGGTAATTTAACATGAATAGATGCTTTGTTGGTGTGGTACCTCTTTTTTCATACAAGTGCTGTGATTCTTTTCTGCATAGCTAGAGAAGGCATCAAGAACTGACCATTTAAAATGTCTGTCTGGTAACAAATGATTTAAAAAAAATGCTTAAGTGTCATTTGTAATAATACAGTACTGAAACTACTTCTTATATATGAAAAACAGTGCATATTTTCGTTTGCTGTGTAAGAGTGTCTACAATTACAGTACTGAATAAGCTACCTGAGATCCATTTCAGATCATTTTTAGAAGGAAAATAGTACTTTATCAAAATAATTTTTTTTTAAAAAAAAGGTAGAAGTTTCAAGTTTAACACATTGCATCTGAGTGGCAAGAAAACTAAGAATGAATCTTGAGTATGCCTACAAATCTGCTGCTAATGTGCTTGCTTTGGTATAATTAGGAACACGTTACATGTGTATGCAATGTTTTTCTATATTACACATTCTTAAAATGATTCTTGAATTTCAGTATCCAGCTGATTTTCTCATATAATTTTTAACAGATCTTTCATCTAAAACCTGGCTTGTCTCTGAGGAGTACATTCCTTGCACAATTTCTACTAGTCCTTCACAGAAAAGCCTTAACTTTAATAAAATACATAGAGGATGACACGTAAGTGAACAGATCTAAAGCAGGCTTTGAGAAACTGTGTTCTTTTTTTACAAACCCCCTTTATTTTCTTTCAGGCAAAAAGGAAAAAAACCTTTTAAGTCTCTTCGTAGCTTAAAGATTGATCTTGACTTAACAGCAGAGGGCGATCTTAACATAATAATGGCTTTGGCTGAGAAGATTAAACCGGGTCTACACTCCTTCATCTTTGGGAGGCCGTTCTACACTAGTGTGCAGGAACGTGATATGCTAATGACATTTTAAAGCTCTTCACTGCTAATGTGTAATATCGCTGCCTTGCATGGCACTAAAAGAAATCTCTCAGTGTGAACTTGTGACACTCGTTGACCTGATTTAGAATGGATCAGTAGGAATCAAGTAACACTACAATCTGTCTGAAGCAGGAGGGGGATGTATCAGAGGGAATATCAGCATAGCAAGGAAAGCATGATTATAATGAATCCATCTCTTCTTTGTGCTTTTTTTTAACCGTAAAAATAAACGTTACCAGACGTTCCTTTGCCATATGGGCTCAGTAGGTAAATTTGAACGTGTTGTGTATGACAAAGGGAGGCACTTTTATCTTCTTTCCCCTCAGATTTCCTTCAAGTGTGTGTCTGTTTTTCCCTTTTCTGCTGTGTCAGTAAAGAAAACAATGAGTATGTCCTCTCTAATCAGGGAGGTCAGGGGATAGGAGCTTTTCCAGAGTTTCAAGGAGTTTTTAAATGTATTTGTTCTTATGTATATGGTACAATTCTGAAATATGCCTTCCTTTATCTCCCTTTTATACACTACTGGCTCCATTTGCAGCATTTAAAGATGTGGGGATTTTTTGTTTGTGTTTTTTGTTTGTTTTTAAATATACTACACAGTGTTCTTGCGGGCGAACTGTTGGCTAATAGCAGCATAAATAGCAGCACTCTGCACATGGGAACTGGGTCATTATTTAAGCTGCTTCATGCATGTAAATGCCAACCAGGATACTATGTCACAGATTGTTGGCCATCCTGCGGTTAAGTATTCAGTGATCCAGCATAATTGAGCTCTTTCAAAACACAAAGCAGGAAACCTGTATCATTCAGCAGCAGTTGTGTTTGTGTCTAAATTGCTTCTGCGTTGTCTATTGTCAGTTAGAATAAGGTTCAGATTAAAGTATTAGACCTTTCCAAAGAACACAAAGCGTATAGCCAAACTAAAAGATAAAAATAATTCTTTTTACTTTGCCATTAATGTATTTACTAATCCTTAATTCAGAGAGCAGCACAGTTATGAACTAATATGATTCACTTTTTACTAAGTGAATTTAAGTCAATAATAGTGCCAATCTTTTTAGTTCATAGTTAGTGCATGTTCAACTTTGCTTTACTTGAAAAGAAAAAAACAGGGAGGTCCAAAAGCTCATCTGTTTGTGTGCCTCAACCGTTCTTTCTCAGTAACATGAAGAGAGGTGCAATGTCAAGTTAACCAGACCTATTGTTTTTTGATGGTTCTGGCACATTTGGTGTGTTATATCGAAATCAGTGATACATCTGCATTGCATGATGTGTATTTATCTTTTTGGACAGAGGCAGGAATAGATTTGTTTCATGTTTCAGTGTAACCTCATAACTCTATATTCCTTGTAAAGGAGATACACTTGTGATTTGAGAAGCTGCTGTTTCTTGTTGCTTAAACTGTTCATAGCAGTCCTTCATGAAGAGGTTTCTGTTTTCAAAATAGCTTTTTGGCATCTTCTTCATGCATAAGAGTTAACGACTGAGACCCAAAACTTCCTGAGATGTCCAATACTCAGTTCTTAAAGGGAATGTCTTTTTTTTTTTTCCACATGTCCAGAATTCCTTTATATTTCCTGAAAAAGAAAAGTTTACAATTAAATATTTAAATCTTCTGAAACAGGTGGAACTTGGCCCCTACTGCATGCCATTTATTATGAATAAAAATCAGCTGTGTTACTGGATGATTATATTGTGTAGCCCTTACACAATGTAATGTAGTCCTGTAGCCTCTTTTTTGTGCTTTACATGTATGTTGGATTCCTGCAATGTGAGGTCAGCACTTCATCCAAAGAACTTGTCAGGCATACAGTGACATAAGTTACTTATGCTGAAATTATTTTTGTTTTACTGACATTATCCTTTCATTTTGTGTTTTTAGTCAATTTATCCATCAGAAAAGAGCCCGTTACTAAGTTTTACTCTCATGTCTAAGATTGTAGGAAAAAAAGTGTAATAAACACTTCTCAAACTTCTAATGTAGAAGTTGTGTTTGAGGTCTAAACAGCTTTAAATGTGCAGCTGAAATCACTTCATAGGCATTGCAGACTTAACACTGACACTACTAACAGTAAAGCTCTGTTTGTTTACGTAATGTGCTGTCACTTTGAGATGACTAAAAGCTGGAAACTTAATTGCTACCTTTGTTGCACAACTGTCACAAGTGCAGAATGTATAGTGAAGTAAGTTATTAAATGCATCTGCATGTTGTGTTGTAAATCTTGCTCAGGAAAAAAGTGTTCTAATAAAAGTCATGCAATTTTTTTTAATTTTAATTTCTGCTGTTTTTTAATAGAATTTCTATATATTACGGGATCGTGATCCTTTCTCCTTTGAAATAAAGAAGAAATGTTCTTCCTTCTTGTTACATTAAAAATGTGTGTATTTGGGGATGGTGAGTCTTAGAATGTCACTGGTGGACAATCATGTTACTAACTCTGTGTCTGACACTCTGTTATTCATTTCAAAATGGCGATTTTCTAAAGGTCTCCCAACTTTGTTCTTTTATTTCTGTCGAAGACTCCTTCAGAGACCTAGCAAGTCATTTTGGAAATGATGTGCTTAAATAAGAATCTAGCCTCTACTACTGAGAATTTATAAGTGTTTTTAGAAGTTCACTTCTTTCTAGCCATCAGCGAAAACCTTTCTTCAGGGTTCTGATTCCTTACAGCCTAAGGAATATAGTAACTGTGTTTCTTCCAGTTGGATTTGGAAAGGAATAGTGCTATAGCACATTTTTAGCAGCATGTTTTCTCTGATCCTGATTCCTGGTGTTTGCAAACTTACAAAGTTAGCACAGGAGGACTTCATCTGATGCTTATCTGGAATGTCTGTTTCCTCAGGACTGCAGAGGACTTCTCCAATCTGTATAAACATGTCACCAAGAGAAATGAAAGTGGTCCAAAATAGGAGGGCTATCTCATACAAACATGTTGCTTACTCCTAATGTGTAATCGGAGTTGGTTCATCAGAATGTACTTTGTCCTTTCCTCAACAATAAAGAGAAAGAAAATTAAAACAAATATAGTACGTTGAGTGGCTTTTTGCACCTGGTAGAACGTTACTGTGTAGTTCACCTTTGTCCTGGCATACTGTTAAGCTGTAATTGTTACGCCTCCTACTTGGGCAAAACACCAAGGAAAGTCCCTGGCAGTCTGTCCTTTTCCAGGCTGTCCATGTGATATTTGTTTTAAAGGAAGTAGTTCTGTCAAAGCCAGACTGTTTGTATGAATGTCCAGTTTTCAAGCACAGAAGACCTCAGTTAAACTTCAGAGGTATGATGAAAATGGGACACAATCCTAATAATGACGATTAAGTAAGTTTGACTTCAGTTTAAACTAGAGTAATTGAGCAACCATGCAAGGAAATTCAAATCTTCAATTGCCATGCAGGGCTACTTTTCAAAGTAAAAGATCAGTGGAACAAGAAACTTCTATGAAGTTTCTTTTTTGTAAGGAAAAACAGTGGAATGACAACTTATAATTATTCCCATCTTTTAGATGTTCCCATATTTTTGTCATGGCAAAACTGCCAGTTTTTCCGGGAAATTGCAGGTTGGTCAGTTTTGCTCGGGTGGCTGGGACAATCATGTCCAGTGCCCTCTTGGGCCAGCTGTCAGGCCACATGGAGGGGAGGAATGTGATGGGAAAATGTCAGCGTGGCTTGACCAAGACAGAGTCACAGCCCACCTCATTGCTTTCTGTTAAAAAGTGACTGGATTCACAGGCAAGTGGAAAATGGGATGTCACGTTCACTTCAGCAAGGCTTCAGCACTCCCGCAGTGTCCTCATGCACAAGCAAGGTGATGGGGCCTGCAGTGGGTGTCCCAGTAGTTGGGCGGTCAGGCTCTGAGGTGGTGGCTACTGGGAGGCATCTGCCTGGAGGTTGGTGCCCCATAGGGTCCTGCAGGGTCTCCCGGTGGTGTGTCCTTTTCACCACCTTTATTCTTGGCCTGAGGAGAAGGCCACGGGCCTTGTGCAGGAAGCGAGCAGGGCCAGAGAGGCTGGGGAGAGAGGGGAAAGCTTTTTCCCCATGTGGAGAGTAGGGCACAGAGAGATGGTGTCATCTCCCTGCTTGGAGAGTCTCCAGCCCCCGTGGGATAAAGGCCTGACCCCAGGGCTGAGCCTGCTCTGGACACACGTGGACTTTGAGGCCTCCTGAGGCCCCTGCAGGTCCCAATTGTCCTGTGGTGCCGCAGCCCAACAGACTGCAGTCACTGCTGCTTAGGCTCAGAGGATGATTGAGGTGGGCAGTAGCCACTGGAGGCTGATGGGTTTGACCTTCTGCTCAACCCAGAACAACTTCCATCAAAGCTGTTCATGGCATCACCTCCTCAGTTCCGAGTATCTCCTGTGGTACAGGTGAAAGCAGGGGCTGAATAAACTCCATCAGAAGCACGGTATCCACAGGGACTAACACATGGTACAGTTCACAGCAGCACACCCCTTAATTGAAGCACGGGGGCTGATCAGGACTTGGTGCAGAAACAGCTACCTGCAGCAAAAGACCAAAGATTTTGAAGAGAGAGGAACGCAGGCATGCAAGCAAGGGTAATCAGATAAAGTCATGAAAGAGGTTTTTGGCTGAGCAAGTTTCAAAGTAAAAGCTTGATGCTGTGAAGCTGTGATACCTCAAAGGCAAACGTCTGAAGCTTCACCCCTAACACGCATCGAATAACAAGCCCAAATGTTTGAGAACGGCAACAGCCAAAAGCTCATTTGTGAAACACGAAGTTCAATGCCAGTTTCTCTTCCATTTAGAAAATTGTCTCATCGTAGTAAGAGAGAGCGTCTTGTCCAACTTGTGTTAAATATGGCTGAGGGTTGCCAGGCTTTTGATTTTCAGTAGAAGCAGAAACACAGGAAATTACAGGTCAGGGAATACTGAAATTTAGTACTGCAGACTGTGCATACAGTAATCCAGTATTTCTGCCAAAATGTTCAGTAGTACAGCTGAGCTGTGAGCTGTGTTTTCAGCCTTCCACACGCATCCACAGGGATGTGTAGGAGAGATTGCCCTTCCTGAGATATCTGCCTGTTTTCTGGCTACCTGTTTACCAGAGGTTAATCGTGCATCACGTCGAGCTCTGCTGGCATTCCCTGGCCTGTCTCTGTGACAGCATATTTGGAAATAATTTTGGATAATTTTGGATAACCTAGATTCCGGAGGAGAGACTTTCTAGCCTTTGGGGTTATTTTTTTGTTGTTTGATTTTGTTTTGTTTTTATAGTTTCTGTTTGTTTTTGTTGCTTTGTTTTTTTGTTTTTGATCCAAGGGCAGCTGTACAGACAAGCCACATGGAGTATGCATGGCCTGGGCAATAAGTAATGACTAATTAACTCCATACAGTTTTCTGGCAGAGAACTGGACACTGGCAGGCTGAGGAAAAATTTGGGTTCAGTCTGCTGTTAGCACTGTTACTGCCAACGTTTGACACTTCCCCTGCAGGTTGGAGACTTGGGACATAGCTGATGCAAACTGATGAAGATGTTTGTTAATTAATGAGCACACGAGAAGGAAACTGGTGGAGCGGCAGAGCTGTCAGTGATCTGGGCAATGAGATACACCAGTTTGCAAGTGCGCTACAATGCAGAGCGTTGGGCTGGACTACAAAGCTGCCAGTCACGGATCTGAATCCCAGTGAGGTAGGCAAGAACATACTCACACTTGAATTACACCTCTGTAGGTGTGGAGGTGCACATATGTTTCCCCTCTCACCAGCTCTGAGGACACACAGACCTGACAGCAAGCTGCCCGAGGAGGGTCTGAGGTGTCCCCATGGCAGCTCCACACCACCGCTGCCTGCGGCTGCATGTCCTCTGCTGGAGGATCTGCCTCCTCTTTTCTCTGCCTGGATTTACACCATATGGCCTTTTCTTTTTCTTGTTTTGAGATGACTTCTTTTTGTCATCCTCGCATCTTCCTTCCACTGCCAAGTTCCTCCCAGCAGGAGCTCCAGTTGCTTTTCCGAACTGGTCCCAGTTTTGCTATACCTGTACCCAAATTTGGTACTTCTGATGCTGGCAATACTGGCCTTATCAACAGGAGTCCCTTGGCATGAGTGACTTCACAGCCCAGCTTCCCCCAGTGCTGATCAGCTCAGCCTGGCTGGATTCTGTTTACCTTATTCACTTCCCAGACACAACGATCTTACTTCAACCTCAGTTCCCCTGCCAGTCTCCTCCAGTTCTCACCACACACACCAAAGGGCAGGGGAGAAACTCACAAGTCCCCCTCCTGTGGCAGCACAGCCCTTCCATCATCCCTCGGTTCCCCCTTGTTCGCCGAAGGGCAGCTGTATTTATGAGCATTTTTACATTAGCTGCAGCCCACATGACAGGAGCATCTGGCTGGGCTGTATTTACAGCTATCTGTACCTCGGGCAAAATTTTCATGTGAATATAAAACATATACAAATAAAATGCAGGCTATAAAACGACAAGAAGATAATAAAGCATTCCAGTTTCCTCTCTGATAGTGCATTTGAGGGACAAAATGCCCGTCCAAAAATGTAGTGAATAGACGCCACAAGGTTTCAGAAAGGCTGTTTTCAAACCAATCGCCCAGTTTGCATTCCCACATGCTCATATTTCAATAGATTCTTTTATCCATTTGTGGACCAGCCTACTGCTCTGTCACATGTGGAAAGAAATGTTTGCTTGGCTGGTCTTAAGGATGTGATGACACCAAGATCTCCTTAATTAGTCTCAGAGAAATGCCAGCTTATAAAAGTGCTTACAATAGAAAAAGGGAGACAAAGCTACAGGACGAGCTTTAAACGTTAGTGTCAAAGTATAACACTATTATTATTATTGTTGTTGTTGTTTTTGTAGTTATTGGGTTTTGTTCCTCTGGAATGTGTACACATAAAGAGCTGTGCAGTGCTCCGAGCAGATGGTTGTGTTGGTGGAATCTCCAAATGTTAAATGTTCCTTCACTCTGTGTGGCTTTGTCCTGCTTTCTCCACTCGTTATTTTATCTGAGGTTGCACATTCACAGACTGGATACCAAAATGCCTTTAAGAGACTTTCAAAGTGCCTTTGCTCAGATAACTTTCATTTTTAGTCCCATTGTTTTTGTTGTTTTCTGATGCTTAGTAATGACACATACTACAAAACCAATGGATTGGGACAGAGGCCAAAAGTTCTGTTTGTTGGATTAAGAAAGACCCGTTTACAGAAGATAATATTTGGGAGCTGCAGCAATTTTGAGGCTAGCCTTGGGCTGCCAAGAGCTACCAGAGTGCTGTCAAAGCCAGAGGATGAAATTAGAGAGCAACCTGCATTGGCTCGGCAGCTGCATGAGGGGCTGAGGGGGTCTCCCTTTGCAAGGGGGGAAATCACGCCGTGGCCTTGCAGCAGTTTATATGGGTAAGAATTAAGTATTTCCCACATGAGGCTATTTGCCTGAAACCCAAAGAGCCTGATTGTGCAGAGGCTGAAAACGTTTTTGCTTTCAAACCCAAACAGCATGGCTTCTTTCCTGAAACACAACCCGGCGTTATTCTGCTGTGCCATGAAAGATCAATTATTTGGGCTGTGAAAGGGAGGCTTCAGACGAGGTGGGTGCCAGCAGTCACCACGCCGTCTCCATCCCTGGAGGGCTCACAGAGATCTCCTGTCCTCGGCGGCAGCTGCTGCAAGCAGCCCTGGTGTAGCCAGGGCTGCCCCTGACCAATCCCAGCAGGAGCAGCCGCTGGGGTTTCAAACACCCTCTGTGTGCCAAGGGAATGTACAAAATATTTTGAGGAAGGAGCTGGGAGGAACAGCTTGATGACACAGAGCAAGCAGACTGCGTGGTTACAGATGTGCTGAAAGGGCAGCGTTCGCCCCGGCACAGAGAAAAGATCTAGGTGGAAGGAGGAGGACTTTGAGCAGCTAGGCATGAAAATCTTGCTGAGTGGGAAGGTACAAAAAGACCCAGTGGTGGAGGTCAGGAAAACTGAGCCAAAGCCTTCTTGGAAGGGGAGAACCAAGAGCAAAATGTTGTTATTGAGTCAGAGCTGCGAGGGGCATCAGGGTGCC